CCAGTGCGTTTGTATGTGTATGTTTGGGGGTCTGAAAAATGGCTAAATCTACTTCCACAATATTCCTTATGGGAAAAAATTCGGTCAGAGTACTGCACCTTGGAAAATACTACTGGAATGAAAAAGTTCGTTTAACCGGAGGGTCCACTTATATTAGAGCGTTGAGTGAGGTGGTGACGCAGTGACTGAGGATTTTCATAAGAACATTAGAATGGAGATACACTTTAGAAGGCCTACTGGCCCATGTGAGGCAGGTCTGATCTACAGCAGGCGTCTACACTATCCCCTGTGGGATTCTGTCCAAGAAATATGAGGCGGACAGGCAGAGATCTTGCAGTCGCCTGGTCATGAGCATCGAAATGCTTAACAGGAGACAATGTAAGGTACGCATGTGTCTACACCACAGAGACTCCACGGGGCATTTGATGATGGAATGAGGCACAACCGTTCTACCGAACCAGGACCTCAGACGCCGACGGTGCCTAGAAGCCTCTCATCTAATCGCCGTCACCGACACTATAGAACGCAACCATGGAAACTACAAATGTCAAATAACATTGGCAAAATGATACTTAAGCGCAACCAACCCAACAACTCAGGAGTCACATGATTTCATCGTCTACCCGTACTCATCATAGGCAGAGGTGTTTATGATTAAGGACCTGCCTATCCATGGGCCAGTAGGCCTTCTACAGTGTTCCTCCAATACTTATGTTTTATGACATTCCTCAAGGGTCTCGTGCGTAACACCTCACTCTACGCCTATATATTTAATTAAAATGTCTTTCTACCTCGGTATGTTAGAAGTGATCAAAGTCCCAGGACGAAAGTTTTCTAATAATATGTTATCAGTGTTTGCTACGTGTCTTTCTAAACAACTTTTTTGTCTCCACATATATACCTCATATGCACCCACTCACCTTTTTTCCTCATCAGTTCTATGATTAACCTCATCCTTCATAAATCCATGCACAATGACCGTCATCTTCCCAAATATTTGAAAACATTCACGTCTTCTATACTCCTCCCCAATATTGATATCAATTTTTCTTGATCTAAAATCATTTTTGATACCCTCATACCTTACACTTTTCTATGTTTCACTTTCAACTTTCCCACCCTTAACACCCAATCAACTCGTGCACTAACTTTTGCAATATTTTCTTTAGAATTCACATAAGCACCAGTATCATCAGCAATAAAGTAACTGTGTCTCTTCCCATTTTGTATTTGGTAACCCAAAATTTAATCCACCCTCTCCGAAACACCCTGCATTTACTTCTTTTCAACCCATTATAAAATATATTAAAAACCATGGTTGACCTTACAATCACCGTCTAAGACTTACTTTTACGGGAAGTAGGTCTCCCTCTCTTCTTACACACCCTAACATGAGCCTCACTATTCCTCATAAAAACTCTTTACAGAATTTAATAACTTACCACCTATTCCATATACTTGGCAACATCTGCCACATGCGCACCTATTTCCCACTCTATCATATGCCATTTCTAAATCCATTCAATGCAATAAAGAGTTCCCTGCCTTTATCTAAATACTGTTCATATATAAGCTTCAATGTAAACACTTGATCTACACATCCCCTACCCACTCTAAAACCTCCTTGCTCATCCACAATCCTACATTCTGTCTTACCTCTAATTCTTTCAATAATAACCCTACCGTGTGTGTGTGTGTGTATACTCACCTAATTGTGGTTGCAGGAGTCGATACTCGGCTCCTGGCCCTGCCTCTTCACTGATCGCTACTAGGTCCTCTTTCTCTCTCTGCTTCCTGAGCTTTGTCATACCTCGTCTTAAAGCTATGTATGGTTCCTGCCTCCACTACATCACTTGCTAGGCTGTTCCACTTCCTGACGACTGTGACTGAAGAAATACTTCCTAACATCCCTCTGACTCGTCTGAGTCTTCAGCTTCCAATTGTGACCCTTGTTTCTGTGTCCCCCTCTGGACATCCTGTCTGCTGGTCCACCTTATCTATTCCATACAGTTATTTTGTATGTCGTTATCATGTCTCCCCTGACCTCCTGTTCTCCAATGTCGTCAGTACGCACCCCCCACAAAAAAAGGCACAATACTGTGACTGGGACGATAACATATAACCCACACATAAAAGAGAGAAGCTTACGACGACGTTTCGGTCCGATTTGGACCATTTACAAAGTCACACTAACTTTGTGACTTTGAATGTTCTCCATGTCGGGACCGAACGTCGTTCTAAGCTTCTCTCTTTTATGTGCGGGTTATTTTGTGTATCGTCAGTCCGATTCCCTCAACTTTTCTTCGTACGTCATTCCCCCTGAGCTCTGGAAACTAGCTTACCCTGGAGTTTACCTGGAGAGAGTTCGGGGGTCAACGCACCCGCGGCCCGGGTGTGGCCAGGCCTCCTGGGGGTTCAAGAGCCTGATTCAACCAGGCTGCTGCTGCTGGCTGCACGCAAACCAACGTTCGAGCCACAGGCCCGGCTGATCAGGAACTGACTTTAGGTGCTTGTGCCAGTGCCAGCTTGAAGTCTGCCAGGGGTCTGTTGTAATCCCCTTATGTGTGCTGGGAGTGTTGAACAGTCTCGGGCCCCTGGACACTTATTGTATGGTCTCTTAACGTGCTAGTGACACCCCTGCTTTTCCATTGGGGGGATGTTGGCATCGTCTGCCAGTCTTTTGCTTTCGTAGTGAGAGATCACCCAGATTTTCGTGGTGCATGTTCGGTTACTATGTCCCTCTAGGTATTTTCCAGGTGTTTTTTAATCATGTTCTCTCTGCCTGCGTTCCAGGGAATACAGTTTTTGGAACCTTCAAGCGCTACCCAGTAAATGAGGTGTTTTATCTCCGTTATGCGCGCAGTGTGATAGTCATCTGTACATTTTATAGGTCGGCAATTTCACCTGCCTTGAAAGGTGCTGTTAGTGTGCAGCAATATTCAGCCTAGATAAGAAACAAGTGACCTGATGAGTGTCATAGGGCTTGCCACTCCCTAGTTTTGAATGGTTCTCATTATCCATCCTGTCATTTTTCTAGCAGATGCGATTGATACACATGTTATGGTCATTGGAGGTTGAGTCCTACCGACATGATCACTCCCAGGTCTTTGACGTTGGTTGTTTCGCTCTATTTTGTGGCCAGAATTTGTTTTTGTACTTGGATGAAGATATAATTTCACTCATGTTTACCATATCTGAGGTATTGAATATCTCCCATCGTTGAACGTCATATTGTTTTACTGCAGCCACTGAAAGATTTGGTTGATTTTCCGCCTGGAGCTTGCTGTGTCTGCATACCTTTGCACTTTCTCTAATTTTGGTAGTGCTTGACCAGTGTTGATGGGTTACCAAACGGTGCTGCAGACTCCAGTATGACCTGATCCACAGTTTAACTGGTAGAGAGTTCCGCGGGGTCAATGCCCCACGGGACAGTGTACTGTGTCTTGACGATTCTTACTAAGGTATCGGAACGCTATTCCTAGGTTTGCCAGGCGCCCATATGCTGCAGCAGTTATCTGGTTAATGTGTGCCTCCGGAGATATGCTCGGTGTTACGATCACCCCAAGATCATTCTCCTTGAGCGAAATTTGCAGTCTTTGGCCACCTAGCCTATACTCTGTCTGCGGTTTTCTTTGTGTGTGTGTGTACTCACCAAGTTGAGGTTGCAGGGGTCGGATCCAAGCTCCTGACCCCGCCTCTTCACTGGTCGCTATTGTCTGTGTGTGTGTGCAGTGGTAGATTCACAGCTCCTGGCTGGGCCAGGAGCTGGTCGCTATTAGGTCCACTCTCCCGGCTCCAAGAGCCTTGTGTATGTATGTATGTATGTACACATACATATTCTGGTTTTCAGTCTGTATTTGATTGACAAAACTCACGGTGCGCGAGGTGTTTCTGTAACCAACATCCAGCCACATCCATACATGTATCTGTCCAACCTATTTTTAATACTGCCCAAAGTACTCTGTGTATAAAGTTGCTTAGTTTGCTTCGCTCATCTACAATTCTATTATCAAGCCAGTGTTGTGCTATTTTCTTTCTAAAGTTAAATTTATCCACCTTGAATCGTTGCTGTGTGTTGTTTTATTCAGGCATTTTCTTAGATTTTCTATCTATTACAGTAAAAGTGACAGGACAGGTGAGCCAAGTAACTAGTGATTAATAACAATTTAACACTAATCATCATCGTAATTCCCAATTTGTTGCCTAAATACATCAATTTACTTTAAGGCCAGCAACCCTCCGTTTCTCTGCTGCTACCTGTTGATGGTCAGGTACTGCCTTAAATACTCTGCATCATTCTTGCATATCTGCAGTGTTTAGAGGTTCTATGCCCTTTAAGGTAAATAGACAAGTTTAACATAAATTAAAAATTCACCAAAAAACCCACTTGCTGTGTTGAAATATTCAAACTCAGGCTTCCTGGGTAGTTTTCGTATAATATATTCCCATCTAACTTCTCATTATTTGCTATTTAAAGGGCTCCCCTTACCTAGCTTGAAATGCATTTTATAATGAATGTCATCTGAATGTTTTTAATAGTGTTTAAAATAAAGGAAATGTGTTTATATGCAGTTTGAAAGCTTCCGTCTGGCTGGACGGCAGATCAATAGTGGACTACCAGATGCCGACTCGTCTCCCACAACCTTTATTTTCTTCTATAATGGCAAAAACTTTTTTAAATAACGAGCAACTGGTTTTGGATATACTGTAACCAAGTCGAAATAAGATCCAGTCCACATGTCATGAAAGAACCACTTAGCGATCAAATTAATTCATATAATCCGTAAATGAAGTTGCCAGATTCTTCTATGGACTTAAGACCACAGGTTGCAAGATTGCATCTGTTAGCCGTCGCATACGACCATGACATAATATTGTGCATAATTCACCAGTTTTCAATCGTAGAGAGATATTCAGATGCGTCGTGGAAGGGTAGAATAGAAAAAGATGGCGGGAAAAGCAGAATGATGAGTATATGGTGAGTGAGTGTTGCGCAGGAGAGTGAGTCTCTGAGGGTGACAGTAACCTGACATTTGCAGTAGTGTTGCAGCTGGTGCTCGTTCCGTGTGTGTCTCTCTCTGTGTTACGGGTTAAGACATGGCAATTTAGTTTTACATCCTGTAGGTGAGTACCTCATGTTTATCGTCTTACAGCTGGAGAGGTACTGTCGTATGATCAACACTTCTCAACGCAGCTGGAAATGTTTCAATACGTGTTGTTTTGCTCTAGTAAAGAGAAATATTGGGAGGATGCGTCGTGTGAGTGCATGGCACTGAATTTGTTTTGATTTCTACAGCCGTGTTTATTATTTCTTGGTAATATCGTCTCTGTATTGGAAAATCCATTATGATGCCCAAACAAAATGCTGAAACCGAGGGTAAATGTCAGGGTTGGTAGGCCTACAGAGAAAAAAGTATTTTGAGCCCGAAGAAATGGTTTGGGAATCTTGTAGACGTTAGCCTACTCTTCTAGTGCGTCACTAGACCTATTTAGTACAAGAATTTTATACATAAATATTAGTAAACACGGTTAGGGTGGTTCGTTAATGGGGTTTAAGGCCGATTAAATATACTCCAGTTGTTAAGACTGCATGTCACCTGGCCACCAGTTCAAAAATTCTTTAATCCCTAAAGTAAGGAATAAAGTAAGCGCAACTTATATACACTGAGACAAACACCTGACGGTGTGAGTAAACTTGTACATTTTGTGGTTATAAACTCAAGTTTTAATGAGCACATGCAGGTCAAGTGTACACACACTGGTAGAACTTGAACGTTGATAATTCCACCCATTAAAAGGCAGCCTTGGCTCAATATTGCATATGCAACCTGATATCGCTTGATATATGCAATGGACCCCCTCAAGAAAGATTAGGCTGGCACACTGAATCATTGTTTGCTCATGGGTGAAGAATGATGGGGAACGAGTGAGGGAGGAATGGAACAGGTGACTGGGATTGAGAACAGGTGAGGGAGATGGAGAAACAGGTGAGGAGGGATGGAGAATAGGTGAGGATAGGAAAAACAGGTGACAGGACGGAGATACAGGTGAGGGGGGTGAATACAAGACGACGGACAGGTAAGATGGATAAAGAATGGGTGAAGGGAGAATAGAGAATAGTTGAGGGGGTAGAGGATGGGTGAGAAGAATAGATTATAGATGGGAGGATGGAGGACACATCAAGGGGATAGAGGATAAGACATGAGAGGAATTGGACAGGATGGGAAGAAGAGGAAGGGAAAAAAATAAGGGTGAAGGGTTTGACAGGACACGGAGGAAGATGGCATCTTTAAAACGAAGATTTTCGTGTGGAACTAAGCTGGGGAGATGAGGCTAAGCTTAAGAGATTAGGCTAAGCTGAAGAGACTAGGATAAGGTGGGGAGGTGAGGCTAATCTGAGGAGACTAAATTAGGTAGATGAGACTAGGCTGGGAGCTAGGAAAGCTAGGTTGATAAACTAAGAATGTTAGTTTAGAAAAAGTATCATTATTATTATTAATATTATTAGTAATAGTATTATTAAAGAACAAAAAGGTACAATACCGTGACTGGAACAATACATAAATAAGGAGAATGAAACTTATGACAACGTTTCGGACCGACTTGGACCATTAACTAGTCATAGAGGACCGAAACGTCGTAAGTTTCTCTCCTTCGTGCCGGGTTACTTTATTATTATTATTGTCATTGTTATTATTATTCATTGGGGAGCGTCTGGGGGGGATCTAAGACAAGCAGTTTAGATTCGAGGAAGAAGATAGCTTCATTTCACTGGATCAAGAGCATTTCACTAGCATCAAGGTTCCGTGGAGAGGGTGAAGAGGTTGGGAAAAAAATAGTTCAGTCGACAGGCTAGCTTGAGAGGTAATAAAGGCTAGTAGACGGATGCAGAGAGGGGCAACCTTACATTATTACGTCAGTTTCTTAACGCTTCCAGTTGGCTAGTTAATAGGGATTAATTAATAGGGATTAAATTTTATCGACCTTTTTTTTCACTCAGGCTTCATGTTTCACCAAGTCAAATTATATTTTATGTATATATATAAATATATATATATATAAATATATATATATATATATATATATATAATATATATATATATATAAAATATATATATATATAATTAATGTATATATATAAATATATATATAATATTATATATATATATATATATATATATATATAATATATATATATATATATATATATATATATGCTGTTGGAGTGTGAGCAAAGTAACATTTATGAAGGGATCAGGGAAACCGGCAGGCCGGACTTGAGTCCTGGAGATGGGAAGTACAGTGCCTGCACTCTGAAGGAGGGGTGTTAATGTTGCAGTTTTAAAAACTGTAGTGTAAAGCACCCTTCTGGCAAGACAGTGATGGAGTGAATGATGGTGAAAGTTTTTCTTTTCGGGCCACCCTGCCTTGGTGGGAATCGGCCAGTGTGATAATAAAAATAAATAATTAATATATATATATATATATATATATATATATATATATATATATATATATATATATATATATATATATATATATATATATATATATGCAATAAGATCACAGTAAACAGTGATTTCAGAATATGCAAAACAACCACTCTGAAAGAATAGAGAAATTCCAAGCGCTTTCGTGACAACTCACATTATCAAGGAACTATGATAATGTGAGTAGTCACGAAAGCGCTTGGAATTTCTCTATTCTTTCAGAGTGGTTGTTTTTACACACACACATATATATATATATATATTTATATATATAATATATATATATATATATATATATATATATATATATTATATATATATATATTTATAATATAATATAATATTTTATATATATACAATATAATATTAATAATGTATATATACATACATACATACATACATACATACATACATACACACCTGGAGAGTGTACAAAGAACTTTCACGGCACAAGTAAGTAAGTAAGATAAGGCACCTAAATTACTGGGAACGGTTGAAGTCCCGTGATTTATATTCACTGGAACGGAAGCGAGAGATACACAATAATATACAATTTGAAAATCCTAGAGGGATTAGTACCAAACTTACACACGAAAATCACTCCCTATGAAAACAAAAGACTCGGCAAGAGATGCAACATTCCCCCAATGAAAAGCAGGGGAGTTACGAGTACACTGAGAGACAGCATAATAAGTCTCAGGGGCCCAAGACTGTCCAGCTGCCTCTTAGCATACATAAGAGGGATTACCAATAGACCCCTGGCTGTCTTCAAGAGGGCACTGGAAAGGTACCTAAAGTTAGTACCTGACAACCTAGGCTGTGGTTCGTATGTCTGTTTGCGTGCGGCCAGCAGCAACAGCCTGGTTGATCAGTCCCTAATCCACCACGAGGCCTAGTCTCAGACCGGGCCGCGGGGGCGTTGACCCCGAAACCCTCTCCAGGTATACACATACACACACACAGAAAGGAGAAGGTCTGGAAGAATATAAATCTTTGCTTCTATTGTTTTTTATTTTAATTTAAGTTTAATTTGGATAAGTTTATTTACGTTACATAAGCCTATAAAAAAGGCGTATTTAACTAAAAATAATGCAGTTAAAAACCAGCGATTCATCTGGTAACTAGGTTGCCGAGAAAAAAAAAAACAAGGAACGCTTACACCTGGTGGTGCGAGAATATTCTCGCTCTTGGATGGTAATCTTCCTCAGATGGAGAGCCTAGGTTAGTGGGATTGGAGTGCTTGATTATAGATAGGAATGCCAATTTATCGAGCTAGGAATCCTTCAGTAAGTCAGTGATCTCCGTTGCAGCCGCCGCCACTACCACAATCACCACCACCTCCGTCACCACCACCACCGTCACCACCACCACCGTCACCACCACCACCGTCACCACCACCACCGTCACCACCACCACCATCACCACCACCACCACCACCACTACCACCACCACCACCACCACCGTCACCACCACCGTCACCACCACCGTCACCACCACCGTCACCACCACCGTCACCACCACCGTCACCACCACCGTCACCACCACCACCACTAGTTGAGACCTGGGATGAATACGTAAAACTGCAATGAATAAATTAGCCATTAGCTTAAATTGGTATAATGGCAGATTTACATTTGTTTAATATTCGGTGTGTATATAAAGGGCACACACACACACACAACACACACACACACACACACACACACACACACAGCACAGCACAGAAGGGAACACCAACAGGGAATATACCAACAAGTGTTGGATGACATACACACAACTGAGGAGGAGGTACAGAGACTGCTAAGTGACCTTGATACCTCAAAGGCAGGGGAACCTGACAAATCTCCCCGTGGGTCCTTAGAGAAGGAGCAGAGATGTTGTGTGTGCCACTTACCACAATCTTCAACACATCCCTTGAAACTGGGCAACTACCTGAGGTATGGAAGACGGCGAATGTAGTCCCCATTTTTAAGAAAGGAAACAGAAATGAGGCACTAAACTACAGACCAGTGTCACTGAGGTGTATAGTATGCAAAGCCATGGAGAAGATTATCGGGAGGAAAGTGGTGGAACACCTGGAATGGAACAAGATTATAAACGACAACCAGCACGGATTCATGGAAGGCAAATCCTGTGTCACAAACCTTCTGGAGTTTTATGATAAAGTAACAGAAGTAAGACACGAGAGAGAGGGGTGGGTTGATTGCAGTTTCCTGGACTGCAGGAAGACCTTCGACACAGTTCCTCACAAGAGATTATGGCAGAAGCTGGAGGATCAGGCGCGTATAACAGGAAGGGCACTGCAATGGATCAGAGAATACCTGACAGGGAGGCAACAACGAGTCATGGTAAGTGATGAGGTATCACAGTGGGTGCCTGTGACGAGCGGGGTCCCACAGGGATCAATCCTAGGACCAGTGCTATTTTTGGTATATGTGAATGACATGATGGAAGGGATAGACTCAGAAGTGTCCCTGTTCGCAGATGATGTGAAGTTAATGAGGAGAATTAAATCAAATGAGGATCAGGCAGGACTACAAAGAGACCTAGACAGGCTGAACACGTGGTCCAGCAACTGGCTTCTAGAATTCAACCCTGCCAAGTGCATAGTCATGAAGATTGGGAAAGGGCAAA